TTAAACTGATGGTATAAAACAAGAGAAATTAATCTAAAATTTATGAAAAAAATGTGACGGTTGACGTCCTTGAAGTTCAAAAGGAAATAAATATAGGTATATTCGAGTGGTAAAGCGGTCATTCGTAGATTTCCACCGTAGATAGAGTTTCTGAAACGACGGTAGCAATTACGTTTGTTATTAACGAAATAATATCATGGGCTATTTTCGTGTGAATCGATACCGACAGTATACGAGTGTCGAAATTATATGAGGGCTATAACGGACATTGCGCCGCCATTGAAAAGAAATACGATGTAAAAAAATATTTATGACGTCATAAGTAATAATGTAGGTAAGCGTAGTAGATTAATAAATAGTGTTCTTTTTTTTTTACATTATAAATTTTACGTAGGCGAGAGGCGTAGCATGGGCTGCTATAAAAATGTATAATCGATAAAAGTCTTTTATTATCTTTTTATATTCTTTCAAAACTGGCAGTGATGCTACAATATTACTATTTATACTTATGTTACCATCCACATCATCTGGATGCTTACCGGTCCACTACTGTGCGACTTATAAGAGTTTTCTTCCTCGCACGTCTATTTTGTGGAATCGTAAACCACCGGCGATTTTTCCGGACTGAGATGACTTAGGGACCTTCCAAAAACGAACTTACTCGTTTTTAAAAGTCCGGCAACGCACTTGCAATTCTCGGCGGCGGTCGACTTTTTCTATCAGGTGCGCCGCATGCTCGTTTGTCCTCTCACCTATAAAAAAAATGCTAGTAATGTTTAAATCAAAAGTACTTATTTAGTAACTAACTATATTACAGATTCATTGATTTGTTAACACGAAAATACCACCCTTAAAGATCTGCCACCACTAGGTCTAAGGGTGTAGCGTAACAATAAATACTTCGCCATAATGTTTTTCAACATCACATTTATTCAAATTTCTATCTATAATAGATACTTGAAATTTATTAATAGAGATACTATTAGATACTTGTACATTATTTGAATTATTTTCTCTTTTTATTTAGGACTAACTTTACCTTACTTTGTTACGAAGCATAACTTTTGGTAGAGCCAAGCTGCAGCTATATTATGGTTGTAGCACGAATGGGTCGGCTTGACCGGGGAGGGACCACGCTCTCACAGAAAACCAGCGTAAAATAGCGGCTTAACGCTGCTGTGTTTTGTATGGTGAGTGTAGAGAACCGGAGACCCTTTTTACTGGCAAAGAGGCATTCCATCTTAGTCCTCACGGGTGACAACGCATCTACATCTTGAGTCTTTATTGAGGATAGATGTAGATGTCTATGGGTCACAGTAACCACTTACCATCAGGAATCGTAGGCGAGGATAGATGCAGATGTCTATGTGCCACACCACTACTTACTATCAGGTGAACTGTGTGCTCGTTTGTCACCCTTAACCTATAAAAAAAAAACTTTCTTATAACCAGATTCGTTATCCACAAATGAATTGCGATATAATAAACATTTTATCGAATATAAACAGAAAATAAAGAAATTATGGTAAAATCAGAAAAAGAATATTAAATTGAGGACCTAAATATTGCATTTCAAATCTGAATGTTCCTGTCTCCCCGTATGTAACAAATCATACATCTCCAATTGTATTGCATAACTAAAGCATACATTGATAGATATTCTATGATTAATAAAAATAGCGTTTCGAAAATCTCATCATCGTCATCATCATTACAACCTATCAAAGTCCACTGTTGAACATATGCCTCCCCCATGAAAATCCAATTTACCTCCTATGAGGCAATCCTCGTTTTTTTTTATCATTTCAAATTTGCAATAATTGTCACTCTTGCCTGACGGGTTGCCAATCGCAGTCTCATTATTTCGAGTTGCTATCAGGAAGATGCTACTGCCCATCTCCTGTTTCTGTTTCCTTCAGTCGCCTCTTACTTACTTCAGGGCTAATGTAGGGTAGTGGATTCTTTTACGCGGACCAACACAGAACTGATTGTGAATTCAAAAAATGTGAAAATTAATCGACCAAATTGGCGATATATTGAAAATGGACCAAATTAAGAGTACCCTTAACCGACGAGCGTGTATGCGTAGGTATATGGATGTGGAGGAGGCGAGAGAGGTGTGTCAGGATCGCGCCAAATGGAAGTCCATAGTCTCTGCCTACCCTTCTGGGTGACAGGCGCGTGTGCTTAATGTTTATGTATGAAAATGAATTAGCTAAGATCCAAGTGAGGGAATAAAATGGTGAGTATAGATTGAAGAGCATCTCACTCCCTCGCATAAGTTAGTTAATTTAATATATTGTTACGAGCTTGGGGTTCGAGACAATTAAAAACTGCCGATTGAATTACCAAAATTGACACTTTAATTACACAACACTAATTACAATCTAAAATCACACTAATAATAAAACACTGTTCGCCGTTATTTCGCTTCGAAGTATTCTCTTATATCGCCAATTCAATACTTCCCCGGTCGTGGTCTATACCGGCCTTATATAGGGCCTCAGATAGTTTCCAGAACCTTCTACTGTAGCGACATCTAGAATGTTCGAGTACATATCGGTCCCGAAATTTCTGGAAGGATCTCGACTCTCCTAGTTCTGCTACTCGACACTAGAGGGCGCTAGTGTAACTAGTGTTGCCATGTACAAGACATTAATAGTGGCGCGCAATACTTTCATTTACTCGACACTAGGGGGCGCTAGTGTAACTAGTGTTGCCATGTACAAGACATTAATAGTGGCGCGCAACAATATTATAGCGAATTAGTTGGTACCCAGCGCATTGCTGTCGCAGAAGAAATAATTATAGAAATATAGTTTTAAATTTGGAAGAGTTATATTGTTTAATTAGGAATGATAATAGACTCATTGAAGTTGTATATTGAATAACTTTCAAATAAATTTATCGATATGCTACTCGCGCCACCTAGGGTAAGTTGATTAGACTATGCCTGCGCAGTATGGCAGCGCATAAATTACGAACAAACAAACATTAATTTTTATTTATTAGATTTCTACAAATTAAGGTCTGATTCTGTTTTTTTCTTTAAAAATAATACTAGCATAGCGTAAAATGAATTCTTCAAAACATGATACTTGTTTCATTAACATCAATTATCGAATTTATCAACATAACATAATATTTCCGGACCGATACGACTTAGGGACCTTGAAGAAAAGAGTCTACTCCTTTTTAAAAGGCCGGCAACGCATCTGCAATTCCCCTGGTGTTGCAGTTGTTCATAGGCGGCGGTAGTCACTTACCATCAGGTGAGTCGCATGCCGGTTTGCCTCCTCTCCTATAAAAAAATTATAACATTACTATATTATTAACGTTTCTATTAAACACGTTAACCACTCCAAATCAGCTTAGAATCATTGGATAAGAGTGGTTTACCGTAGTAGTCGAATGGCGGATTCGAACCCGTGGCTTTCTGAGTTTGCAGTTCGCGGTCATAACAATAAAGCTACTGTCGCTGTTTGTTCACTACGTATTTATTTACTTTAATAAGTGGTATGCCCTGTAAAGTTTAAACATTCGATAGTTTATTTGCTATAACTACAACATTCAAATTTTATGTGCTAAATTCCGAAAAGTTTAACTTACTTTTCTATTCACTCATAGATTAAAGCCAAAGCATTGCAATACTCAAATAGCTATCACACATGATCCTCATTTGCGCGTCCTATCTGCTACCTAACTACAGGAAGGCGTAATAGAAAACCAGGGAAGGTGTCTAGACTAGACGACACAATTATGAGGGGTGCGGAATACGATAGGGTGTGTCACCCCAGTTAGTGTTCCGTAGTATGGATTTTGTAATACGCGTATCTTTTGTTTCTAAGTCAACAGGAATCACATTAAAAATAAGAGCTATAGAAGAACTTTCCATAGCAAACAATCTCTATCTTTATATCTATACAAATAAATAAAGTTGAAGTGTCTGTTTGTAATGTCAATATAACAGTTTTTACTAATTGCATATATAAGTATATACAGTACCTATAACAGAAACACAATTTTTAAAATTTTTGTCTGTCTGTTTGTTCCTGCTAATCTCCGAAACGGCTGGACCGATTTTGACGGGACTTTCACTGGTAGATAGCTCATATTATAAGGAGTAACTTAGGCTACTTATATTGTTAAAAAATAATTAGGGTTCCGCGCAACAAAATTAAAACCCTAAATTACACGCGGGCGAAGTCGCGAGGAACAGCTAGTTTATATATAAAGATAGAGATTGTTTGCTATGGAAAGTTCTAACTATAAAAATCTCTAAATCTCTAATATTTATAAATTACGTGTCACATTGTTTGTCCGCGATAAACTCCTAAACCACTGAAAATCATTCCAGTGGTTTAGGCCAGCTAGTATTTATATAAAAATCTATTGCTGTCCGTTAGTCTCGCTAAAACTAGAAAACGTCTCGAACGATTTTGCTGAAATAGTTTGTGTATCTGAGTGGGTCTTTGGGTGGTTTAAATTTACAATTGGACCCGGTAGGTGGCGCTGTAGTGGAGATCCAGAAATCATCCGTGCGAAGCCGGGGCAGATCGCTAGTACTTATGTAAAAATCAATTGCTGTCCGTTAGTCTCACTAAACTTGAAAACAGCTCGACCGATTTTGATGAAATTTTTTGAGTGCATTTGAGTGGGTCTCTGGGTGGTTTACATTCACAATTGGACCCGGTTGGTGGCGCTGTTGTCGAGTTCCAGAAATCACCCGTGCGAACTCGGTGCGGATAGCTTGTTTAGAAAATAATTTTCATGTCTACTGTGTTGTTCCTTATCTTTATAACTTACATTACATTTTCAGTATGTTACTAATGAAACATAATAAACTGTTAAGTTTTGACCAGAATACGCGGTAGTACCGGTCGAATCGGATAATAAACAGTTTGGAGCAATTTAATAATATCAATGTGGCCGAAATCGGGCAGGAGAATAATATGATATTATTAATAATGATTTCTAACTTTAATTTTATCTTATTTCAGGACGTGGCCTTCATTAACCCAGCGAACGTGGTCTTCGTGTACATGCTGGTCCGGGAGCTGGTCGACGGTGAAAGGATAGCCCGTCCCCAGGAGCTCCAAGCCGTCGTTCTCACCTGCCTGTACCTGTCGTACTCCTACATGGGGAATGAGATCTCTTACCCACTCAAACCATTCCTCGTGGAGGACTCGAAAGATAAATTTTGGGACCGTTGCCTTCTCATCGTAGACAGGCTATCATTTAACATGCTAAGGATTAACTCTGAGCCTGGGTTTTTCACTGAAGTGTTCACGGAACTCAAAGCTTGCGGGGTTGTCGAGAGTTCGACACCAGCTCCACCAGCGCCACCACATCCCGCCCCACCACCACCTCATCCCCTGTCGGCTGCCTGACATACAGAGGTGGCTGTATTGAGGCTAGCGTTGACTGATCGCCCCAGTCGCGTTTGATGTCGGCTTTTGACTAGTGACGGTCTTGGTCAATCGTTTTGGAATTATCGATAACTTATTTGATTTTTGCAGACTATAGATAAATGGCCACATTAATATTTATAATAAACAATATTGATGGTAGTGAAAAACTTATCGATTTATACGATAACTGATGCGATAAGTGATAATTTTTCACTTCTTTCCTGTATTAATACTGAAAATCGTGTTAGGTTGTTCGATACGTGGCCAAGTGTCTTAGACACTGCAGTCCATTTCTATCTGAAATATATTACGTTATTCAAATTAATACGAGAAGATATGAACGAGGACGTCCTTTAAAAAAACTTTTGATCTATTGTAACTAGTAAATATTACAATTGAATAGTTAAATTTGGACCTTTAACCCGTTATGGTATTATATTAATTTACTTTTAAGGTTTTAGTGACATTGCTCAACCATGTACATAATCAACGATTGATCAAGACTTATCACAAGTCAAACAAAGACAGAAATACTGGCGAAATACAAACAGCCCTTTTGAAGAAAGAGCTTGCGTTTACTTTCGAATTAATTGTGATAGATGCGGTACATATTACTGTCTGAAACGTACCCAATAATTTACCAGTGGTACAGACTTGTATAACTTATGTTTTAGCACGAAACTTTTTCATCTAGGTGTAGTATATAACACTGTATACGTGATTTATATAGTCCGAGATAGGCGTACTCGGCCTACTTGTCTTTATGAAGTGAAAGTGAAACTGTAGTTACTGATATTACATGTATTTAACTCTTAAAAGTAAATCTCGTGTATAAGTATATTTCAACCGCCTCAAAGTTACTCGTAGGCTACGCCTGCCAATACTCGAAGTGAATGCGCGCATCATTGGAAAGTTCAGCTGAGCTCAGTCGGCGTTAGGTGGTGGAGGCTAATAATTGACAAAGTGTGATCAATTTCGCCAACTTACACAACCTAACACATCTCTGCATACTCGTATCAAAAGTCTGACATACAATTAGCCATATGCCATCTTCCATTTCACTAAGTTTTTTTTTTAATTTTGTCACCTATACACCTTTTTAGATTCGAAAGAGTTCGTTCAGGTTCACGGGTGAACTTTCGGAGTTGGACAGTTGGCCGATCGTGTGGTGCTAGATCTCGCAACAGAGCAGGAGCGAAAAACTACCAAGATGTCGCGTACTATAAATGTCATTATAATAAAATAATGTCCTTTAAATTTCTAAATGTGGTTTAGTACTATACATAATATAAAGACAGCACAGGTTTGTACCACTAATTTGCAAAAAGAAAATGTTCCGCTCTTTATCGGTTTAGAAATCTACATTGTAATGCAATGTTTAGCTTCTGGATTTTTAGAACACGTGAAATAGTTAATGCATTTTAAGTATGTATGAATACATAGTTAGTTCTCAGGTAATTATACACTCAATTGTACTAATACAAGGCCCGTGCATTGGATGCTTTTGCATCTAATAAGATGTGAACGTCTAATGAAAAGCAAAACCAGGCAGATTTGTTATAAATAGATCCAGTAGCTCAATTTCAATATTTATGTAGTATTAAATAAATAACAAATCTATAGTTATAGGTATTAAAAGGCTTAGAGCAAGTCAAGGTCTACATCATCAAGTTAAAATGTGAATTGTTTCGTAATAGTCACGCGCTAGTAAGTGGATTAAGGTTTAATATCGATATTTTCGCATTTGTATCGATAAAACAACGTAGTGAAACGACACAAAATTTGTGTAAAGCCTTATACCTACCGCTATCACTTTCAGCGGTATTTTGGTCCAATAGAACAGCGATTGGATAATAAGCTAAGTCTGGTATTTGTAGTGGTATCGTATCGCCATAATTATAGTTAGTTGATATTAGCAAAATGTCTGGCAGGCGGGAGGATGCAATAAAGTGACTATCTGTCTGTCTGTAGTCCGGTTAACCCTTCTACAACGTGTACGTATAAAGATTTAGCGGGCTCAAAGCGCAAGATATATCTGGCATGGAATATTTATTAAAATAGGTCAAATTTCTTGAATTAATAAGCGTTTTGTACAGATATAACGATTAAAATAATATTTTAAGTCTTAAACAATAGCCTAGTCTAGTGAAATTAATCGCAGGTATATAATTTACCTGATGGCACTCGGCTTACATGATTTTAAAAAAAAACTTGCTTTCATCTTTCGACTATATATACAAATATAATTTGTTTCATTTGTGTTTATTTTTTTATGGTGGACCATGTATGATATTCATAATTAATATAAGGCATTACCTTTAAATTTATATATTTTAACGTAATACAAACAATTTCTCATTAAAATAAGAAGTGAATGTACTTACTAGCTCTACTATTGATATAATTAACCATACACGGATGTTGTTAAATAGATCCTATATTATAGAAACGCATTGTGGTCATATAAAGAAACGATACAGATAAAACAATAATTCTTGTTATATATTTAATGCACTTACTTACTTTAATTGTTCCAATTTGTTTATATCATTTTATTGTAATTTATGTCTATTTTAGTATTTATAGTAATTTTGTTATAATTCCTTTTCGTTCATAAATGTACTTAATTTATTATTTAATATGCATATTCGCATAAATACTTACTACATGCTTTAAGGATTTTTCATTTTGTTATATTGATGTACCTAGTTTACAACTAAAATTAATAAATCTGATAAAATTAAGGTCTTGAAACATACGAGTACAGATCCATCGTTTAATTTTTTATTTTCTGCAGTCTTCGTGTCTCCGAGTGTCGTATAGATAAGAAGAATGGTATTAGTCAAGTAAATACTTAAAAGTATATAACTAAAATATAAAACAAAAAGCGTATAAGTATAATTGTGAATCTCAAAACTACATGCAACTCATTTATTGTTAGGTAGAAGTAGATGTCTGTGATTATTATGTTTTATTGGATTAGTGTTGAAATGGTTTGTTTTATAATTTATTTTGTGGTAGTGTCTTGTTATTTAGTAGCTGGTAAATAAATCTTAATTTTATTATTTTCTCTCTTTGGATCTCATATAATAATTTTTACGAAGTTATAAACATGTTGTTTTTTCAAGATCGATTTATATTTCGTTAAGTTAATAGAAATTCATTGCAAAAATAATAATTAAACGCAATAAAAACTGGTTCGAACTAAAAAGTTAAGAATGTGTAATCATGACATCAAGTACCAGAATACTTAATATATTTACTTTTTGCTAAAATACAAAGCAGAATTATTTCTGTCAAATGCTAAATGCACATCATTATTTGTTTCGTCCGAAGCCGTCCAATTATCCGGCAAGTTTGTTGGCAGATCTCTTGATGTGCAAAGGAATGAAAGAATCTGTAGAAAATTAACTTAATTTCATTTAACCTGCTAGGTTTTTAGAAAATTATCACCTGAACTTTAATGAAGCATTAATATAGAAATGAAGCATTACGAGTAATAAAGAAATACTTGACAAATTATAAATCGAACTTGATATTATTTTAAACAAAGAACCACGATAAAAATAAAATTTCATTTCTATACTTAAATACCAAAAATTCTTAATTTTTTAAATAGATTAATTAATAGTTGAAATTTATTGAAAAAAATATCCGTATTTTTATGTCCATGACGATGAGAAAAAAATTTACATTTTATTGTCGTTTTGAGTTCGTACTCGTATACAAATGAACATTCGATGTTTGAAATAATGCAAAGATAGTGGATAATATTGTCATGTACATTCCAAATAATAATATTAATAATAAGACTATTAAGTCCTATTAATTTCCACATGGTATTCCAGAGACCTCCAACGTTTTAATGGGTTGGATGGTGTGGTGTATTAATTTATCGAAGATGTTGCTGTTTAGGTATCTCTTCTAACATTATTCATGTAACTCACGTTTGTTAATTAAACAATTGTAAATATACCCAATTATTATTAAAAAAATCGTATTTATAAGTTTTGTTGTTTGATTATACACCTACCTACCTAATTATATTTTTATTTTGATGCCGTGTGACGAGCATTTCGTCATAACGAAGATAGATGTAGATGTCTATGGGCCGCAGCAACCACTTACCATCAGGTGGACTGTGTGCTCGTTTGTCACCCTTATTATATAAAAAAAATACTTTACCGTAATATATCCGTAAAAAAACAAATTGATATTTTGATTGCGCTGTCAAGTGAAAAATCTTTCAAACTTAATTATTTTATTTGAACGTCACAAGAGGACGAGGACTATGTAGATACATAGGCTGCACTAAAAGTATTGGGAATGGAATATTTCAACTGTTCCTGTCATATTAAAATCTTTTTAATTGAAAACTCCTTGGTTTTAAAAATCGAATACCACTTATTTATTTAAAAAAAGATTCTCGGTCTTGTCACAAGGTTTTGTCAAACTTGTTTAGTAGTTGAGAAAATGGAATTGACTCGAGAAAATTCAAGAGCGATGATTTATTATGACTTTCGAAGTGGTTTAACACAAAAACAGTGTGTTGACCGGATAATTTCTGCATTTGGTGATGAAGCCCCATCCAAAACCACAATTTATCGCTAATTTGCTGAATTTCAACGTGGACGTGTCAAGCTCAGTGACGATCCCCGTCAAGGTCGTCCAAAAACTGCAGTCACCTAAGAAAACGTTGATGCTGTGCGTAAGCTGATTGAGGAAGATCGACATGTGACATACCGCGAAATTCAGGCAACTTTAGACATTGGCATGAGTCAAATACAAATAATCTTGCATGAACAATTAGGTGTAAAAAAGTTGTTTTCCCGATGGATACCGCATTCGCTCTGTGAAGAGCAAAAAGCGGCTCGCGTTACTTGGTGCGTCAGAACTCTCGAAAGATTCCACGCAGGATCCTCAAATGCTGTATACAACATCGTATCAGGTGACGAATCCTGGATATACGCGTACGAACC